TTTTTTTTTTTTTTTTTTTTTTTTTTTTTTTTTTTTTTTTTTTTTTTTTTTTTTGATGAAGCCTATGCGTACTTGTAGAATACGTCCATTACAGTAAGTATGTACGGAAACTCTGTTTTTTCAAGCGTAAGACAGCATCTCGACAAGCTTGCCAAGTCTTATCTAAACCATGAATGTTAAATTTTTGGCGAGGATAACATCACAAGTAAGAAAGAAGCTAAGAGTACATAAGAAAAGCTGCGCGACGACCTAATGATATGGCCTAGATCATACACATAAGTGTATTGTATGTATCTCTTTCTTCCATCTGTTACAATTTAAAGCAGTGGTATAAATCGTACACATTTAATAAATATAACTGTACGTAAAATCTTCATACTCTCTTTCTTTTCTCACTTATTCTTCATTCCTCCTTCACGCTTCAATTGGTCATGGGTGCTCATGACTTCTTCACCTCCCAACAAGGACTGAAGGCAATTGACCCCAGGTTAGCGGATTGACGACCGCCTCTCGCAAGGATACGTCGTTATCACCTTCCTCGAATTTTTTCCAAGAAAGCCCACCCGGGATGTAGCCATCCAGTTCCCGGAAGACTTCTCCGAGGCTATCTCCCCGCCTTCCTCCAGGCCTGTAAGGAGTGACCCGACCCACAGAGTTAGGACTACTCCTATCAACCTAAGTGCCTTCGCACCACGTACACATCCTAACTCCCCATCTCAGGTCGAAGCCGCTCACCCCTACAGGCCGCTCGTAACAAATTTGCTACATATATTGAATGACTAGGTTGACGTTTGCTGGGTCAGCTTGAATGGTTGGAAATTTTTTTTGTAAGTTTTACTGTCCAACTGTGGTAAGTTAGTATTTAATTCCAGGAGAGCCTTGGCTATCGCCTTCTACTCTATTTAATTTTCAGCCAAATACGTTGACACTCATTTAGATTCTTAGTCAATAATTACATGCATTAATATATACATAGATAGTGACTCATGCGGACTTCACGTTCTTCTAACATATGTATCAATAACATAGTAGAATTATGCGGACGTCCGCATTATTTCACTATTGTCCTCATAATTACCCTTACATACATGTGATTGTCCGCATAAGTCACCTCTTCATATTTATATACACCATGCCTTGCGAAGCTCTTCGATGATTCATACATATTCATTGTCATGACTTGTATTTCCTGCTGACATTTTAGCTGTTAGTAATCGTAAACGATCTATTAATTCATTAGGATTGTTCCAATGTGTATAACCTACTTGCTGCAGTATTTAAGCTGTCTTATAATGAGGTAGCAGTGATCCGACCTTTTTACTTACTACATAATTTAACAGAAGAGCAATTATTTTATTAAATTAATTGCTATTTTGAGTTCGTATAGCTCCAATTTTTTGAAACTCTTTTCTATGAACATTTAAAGTTTTTAATATTAAATAGTATTTTCCTAATCATCTTGTATTATAAGAAATTTGTTCAGATTCGAGAAACATTAAAACTCATCCTTTCTCCTACTTATTCTATTCTAGAAGCACAGTATTTTTTACCGATCGAATTATCGACAAAATACAGCTACGTTCTTGGCTTAGTAGAACTTATGTCATTCAACTCAATCCCAAATATTCATGAAAATTGTAGTAAATTTTTTGTCGGCAATCAAGTATTGTATTACCAAGAGACAGTTTTGAGGTTGAAAATATTAGGACATTTTTGATTAAGGTATTAGAACCTCTCTAAGTAACTCCTGATAGTAAGCCAAAGAATAATACGCTTGGAAGTGTTATTAAGTGGAGTCATACTATTGATTTTAAATCTTAAAACTCTAGGCGGTCGTTTAGGTTTTATTAAACAAGTTTTAAAAAATAACACCACTCACGTTTCAGACTTACATGTAGCTATTTTGAAGGTAAACGCACTACGATCGGTGTGTAGTGTCACTCGTGGAGCTTACGTAAATAAGGAAAAAGTGCACACGATTCATTAATTTCTCCCAGCTGTACCACATGGATATAAATTTATTGAAGTTTCTTCACAAATAATTTACGTACTAAACATTGGACGTATTATTGGTCATATACACTACGTATAGTGGATCAAGATGATGACTTAGTCCATTTTTGAGAAGGAATTATTACTTTAAGGTTGCTCATAAAACTTTTAGCATAATGAAGATTTTATACATTAAAAAAATGGTATAAACAGCTTAACATGTACACTAGGACTTAGTCCACAACGAACAGTCGATCCGTCGAGACGTTGTAAAAAATAGTCCATACATCCGAAACTCTAAAACTCATTAAAATATACAGTTTATAAAAAGTCTAGCTCTAAAAATAAAAAGCCCTGGTGGAAAATAAATTTGACATCTTTTGTTGTCTAAAAAATAAATGAGATTCTGAATGTTAAGTATCCAGTAACGTTTGACGAATCCATCGCGCATTATGAGATTCATGCTCATCAGCCATATGCAACATCAACATATGGTAATAACGATGAAATTTGATTATCAATTGAACGTCAAGACTTTTGTCTTTTACCATCGCGCAGTTTCTTATACGTTTACGGAAGATTAGTCAAATTAGATTGAAATACAGCAGTAACAAATGCGGAATTGGTCAACAACACCATCTGTTACCTATTCGAAGAAATACGATACACGATAATTGCTATAGAATTAGACACTTGTAAAAATGTTGGCTTTACAATTCTGATGAAAAATTGGTTATCACTTAGTACTAATAAAACAGTATGAACTATAAATTTACATTTACTAAGTAATTGAGAAGACGAAGAAGATAGTCTATTTTATAACGCCTAATTTTATGGCATGATTCCACGTATATAATTATTAGTATGATTCTAAGTTTTGCTGAAGATTATTGTAAGATAGTTGTTGGTGTGAAACATGAGCTTACACTAACAAGATTTAGAAATGATTTAAACGCAGTGCTGTAAACTGTTATTAATACTGACAATAACTATGTGGTAGCAGTTTGGGATGATTTTCAAGTCTTAATATTAAAGCTTGAATGTGTTATGCCCTATGTAGTAATATCAGATACACGTAAAATTCGTCCATTGAATTATCTGCAAAACGATAAGTTTATATTTATAAGTTATCGAATTTGGGAATTGTATGAATATCCACTCTTACCTGACACTCTTACCTGATACATCCAAACATATTTGGACTGTTAAGACATCTAATAAGTTAGAGAAGCCGCGTTATGTTATTTTAGCCTTTGAAGCGTAACGTACAATCAAAAAGCTGTTAGCGCTAGTATGTTTGTTTATTGCAATGTAAGAAATGTAAATCTTTGTTTAGATTCCCAATATTATTCTTATGGTGATCTCAGTCTTGATATAACTTATAATTAGTATGCATTGCTGTATGATATATATGTTTTCAAAGTTTGTATTATTGTACAGTTTGCGCGCCTGCATTAAGTAAATACTACTCCAAATAGTTTTAATTGTTATTGATTGCTCCAAGCAAAACGAATCATTAAAAAATTCTCCAGTAGATGTGCGAGTAGAATTTGAACTACATAATCATTTTTCAGCTAATACATCAGCTTACTGCTTACTATAACATAATCGTGTAGTTCAGTGCAATCCTATGAGTAGGGATGTAAAAAAACTTATGTAAAGTGAGGGAATTAAGCTAATATGACTAATGCATAGCTTTGCTAACATCATTTGTCTTTAATCGTCGTGAAGAAAAGTTAGAGCAGTTGGAGCAGAGTAGAAAAAGATAACAAACAATGACAAGAAGAGTGGAAAAAATTAGAGAAGAAATACGCTAAGGAATGGATGGAAAAAGAATCCAAGAAAAAATCAAAAGATAATAAGTGTTGTGAAATCCTATAAAAATTATTTTTCTTTAAAAAGTTATTACTCTTTAGCTACTTCTCCGAAAAGTGTGTTAAAAGATTCCGTACATTCTATCGGCATTCTCTTATTGAGCTGTTAATAAATGTTTAAGTGTGTCGCTTTGGAACAATGAGGGATGAGAATTCCATATGGTAATTTTGCTAAGATGTCTGAATAGGTAAGTACGCGCAAACGCGTCTTACTATTTGGCCTTATACTTTTTGGCACAGTCCACATATTAGTCATATATGGTGATTTCGAAAGTTTGATTTTACTTTACTTTAGCAGTTTTTTTATTTCTTTTTTCATCTGTTCTCTTAATTCTGCTGGGTTCCTATAGCACCCTGCGGTCATTGGTTTATTTGTTGTAGTTATGTTATGTTTCATTTAATTGTGGCTTTAACTGGCTCCTCATCAAGACCAAGTGTATTGTCATCGTACATATTTCCTTGTTCTTGATTATTTGTCTTCAAAAGTTTAATTATTGCCTTGTTAGTGCCCTGAGCATAGTCCCTTTCGATGCAGTTTGGTTCGACCTCTTACATCATTTGACATCTTAAAAAATCAATAACAGGTACCGGTATGCTTACTGTTTTATTTAGTGTATTCATGAGTTTTGCATAAAGCCATTCTTAGTTATTTGTGGATAGTAAACTTTAACATAATGCTCTATTTATTATTCTATGTATAGGAACTTATCCAACTTTTATTTTTCTCTGTTATCCTTTACGTGGGGTTTGATCACTTGTTTTTATTTTGCGAAAATTTCAAACAGGTCTTGGTCAAATGAATTTATCCCAACTCCATTTAAATCAAAAATATTTTTTGCGTTACATGTACGGCTTCCATACGACTTGAAGATGTACCGCATTATAATACCTTTCACATTTATTGGGAATGTGTTCGAGACTATTCGTAGACTACATATAAGGCTATTCAGTAACATCGCTGCTATACCTAAAGTGTTACGTTTTTCATGCGTAACGCCCACGATTTAATCTAGGTTTTTTGTGTCAATGAGACGCTTTAAAAAATACTTTCCTTTTTTGGAATCACAATTTCATCTTCTGAGTAGGCATAAAATTTCGCTGCACCACTTTTTAGCTAAGGACTGTTTGTATATACTAAAAAAGGGCTTTTTTTATTGATTTACGCATTTTTAGAACAATTTCAAAATTGAGTATATTTTTTAATTAATTCTGGCTATTATAATTGTTTTCCCTGGGCGCATAGTCATTGTAATTATTTTCTTGTTGCTAATTAAAACCGTTGTAATTGTAACTTCTAGGTGCGTAATCGTTGTAACTACTCCCTTATTTCTAGTTATATTATTTATTTATTTATTTATTATTGATTATGAATATTACATGTTATTTCTTCCCGCACATTTAATTCCTTTGTTGTAGTTGTTAAAATTTCTATTCCACTTGTTTGGTCTCTTATTATACTATAATTATTATTTCATGAAAAGCGATTATTACCACAAATATTTTTGTTATTACTATTAGAGAACCCATTGATATTTTCTTGTGAAGGGTTATTGACGTTTCTGAAGCAAAAATTTTTTTTTTCTATTAAATGCAGGCCTACCTTCATTAATTTTGTTTTTTTCTCCCCACATCTTTTGAGTGGTTCTTTTGGTTTTCGGGACTTTTAATTTTTCGTTCTTCGTATCTTTTTACAGCTTTTTATGGCCTATTATTTCTTTAATTTTAAGGAAACACTTATATCCAAGTTAAAATAAAAAGTGATGAAAATCGCTTAATCGAATGTTTTTTATACATTAAAAAAANAAATTATTATAACATACTATTTGAATATGAATTCCATTTTCATTTTTGCATCTTAATAACGCAACGAATGAATGACCAAAACAGTAGTTCTTTTAAATGTAATCAAATGTTATTAAAACTTGGACATCAAGATTTATTTATAGTCATAAAAAACACTAAAAATAAAGTAAATCGTTATTTGTATGAAATAAGAGGTAATGATGATAAATTTCCTATATTTGGAGTAACTTTTTTCTTAAAAACTCCTCTTCCAATTTTTTTCTCAAATACAATTTTTGCTTCAATATTGTATTTAAATAATTTTTTAATTTGTAATCTTGTAACGTTACATAAACTATTAACTATATTAAATTTCGTATTAACATAACAATTGTTCCAAATTTTTTCATTGAGCTCTTGCGGAGACAAACCTTTATAAAGATTGTTTCAAAATTTCACTGGAAAATTGATATAAATATTACTATAAGATTTAATATAACTCACTTAAGTATAACATTATTTAATAAAAAGGTCATATCTTTACCCAAAGTATCGGAACAAACATCAGTTGTTTTCCATTTATTTGGCACTTGCATTGATTCAATTTTTAAAATGAATTGTCAATTCAACGAATATTGGTATTAAGTTTTAGAATACGAAGCAATTATCAAAGACATGATGGTTTAATACTACATCATAATTTCAAGTATCATCATGCTTTTATAACTATTTTTTAAAACTGAAAAAAATTGTCTAAGATCTCCTTCTAAAACAATCAATTTAATATCAAAATGGATGTTTGTACCACGCAAATCACGTTATGTTTTTTGAAATGCTTTTAAGACTTTTTTTGGAATTTTTTGGAGTTTACTTCAAAATTGAAAGTTGAATTAAGCTGTAATAAAGCTTTATTTTCGCAGCTTTTCAAAATTTTCAATAAATATTTGTTATGTATGAGGCAAGCAAATTAAACAAAAAAACAGTTATAGAATTACTTAGTTTATGTATTAATCTCAGTTAAATAGAAAGATAAACTATAGGTAGATAACGAGTAGCGAGAGCTGCACGGTGAGAACCTTTTACCTTCGAAGGTCCGCTTACATTTCTCTCACGTAAGGCTACTTGATACATCAAAGTTTGGAATCTAGTGAGAGCGCTCTCTCGTGGTACATACAGAAAACATTATAAATATAATAATCCCAATTCACAACATTTCCTCCCTCTTTTTTTATTTCTTGGGGGTTGATGCATTAGGGGAAATAACGCTGCGGCAGCCGTCTGTCTCTTTCTGATCGTCGTACAGGTGCATGGTCAATTTCGGGGGGTGGAGTTCCCCGTGGCGGTATCTCTTGTGGTGGAGTCCTTGGTGGTGTTGTAGGTATCGGTACCTCTGGGATCGGCTGCTGGTTGTGACGTCGAAGCGGAGCAGCTGGCTGTTCGTAGTAATGTGTACGTTGCTTGTACTTTTCTTCCGCTGCAGACTCTGGTACTGGTTCTTCCACTGATTCTTCTGGAGCTCCAAGCTCTTGATGATAAACTCGGATCTGGTCCACATGACATTTGTAAATCTTGTCACTGCCTTGTATTTCGTAGTGCAGGTTACCAAGTCTCTTGACGATGACTCCTGGAATCCATCTATTTAAGCGAGTGTTACCCGAGATAAAGTAAACAGTTTGTCCTTCCTTAAAAACTCTATAGGTCGAGTTGAAAGTCGCTTGCTGTTTCTCGGTAATTCGAGTTTTAGTTGAGTCGGGTCTCACCAGATCCAGTCGAGTACGTAGTACTCGGTTCAAGAACAGCTGGGCACGTGGCTGTTTTGTAGTGGAGTGTTGGGCCTTCCTGTACTGCCTAAAAATTCATTGAGATTGCGTTGAAGCGAGCCTGTTGAAGTTACCATTTTCTGTAACGAGTCCTTCACGGTCTGCACATGCCTCTCCGCTTGGCCATTGGTGACTGGATGGTACGGTGCCGATAGCTTATGATGTTTCACTCCACTTTGACGCAAGACTTGCTGAAATTCTTCAGATACAAATTGTCGTCCATAATCTGATACGACAGTGACCGGATCTCCGGAAGCTGCAAACAGCTCATCGAGGACAGTTGTGGTTGCTGCAGTCGTAGTCGAGCTGGTCACTCTAACCTCCATTCATTTGCGGTAGACATCCACGATGATCAGCAACATCTTTTCAGCGATAGGCCCAGCATAATCGATGTGTATACGTTCCCACGGGCCCTTGGGATAATCCCAATGGTGCTCTCGAAATTTCGTTGGAGCACGTGCACATCCAGCACACACGGTACATGCCTTAGCAATGCCTTTAATGCCGGCGTCGATGCCAGGCCAGTAAACGAACGACCGGGCCAGGCCTTTCATTTTCACTATTCCGATGAGGGCTGCATGCAGGTCTTCCAGGATAGTTTTTCGAAGAGTAAATGGGATAACCACTCTGTGCTCCAGTAGCAGGCAATCAGCTGAGAGAGTGTAGTTGCTCTTTGGCGTCTTATAACCATGGCAACTAAGGTCCTGACCACTAGTTGGCAGCTGCGCTATTTTTCCTAGGTGCTGGTCCTTTTTTGTCTCTTTAGCAATCTGCTCAGCCCTCACTGGGAGTTGGGAAAGATGGTTTACCATAAATTGGTGAAACTCATTCAGCTCCACCATTTCCTCCTCCACGTGAGCAGACATTGATTTCACGTTATTTTTTGTAGAAGCAGGAGGCAATCGAGATAAAAAATCAACATTAACGTTTGACTTTGTTGGTTTGAACTCAACGGTGTAATTAAAGTGAGCCAAATAGTCAGCGTAGTTGACCATCCTGCTGATGCACAACACTGGAAGCGATTTCTACGGGTGCAAAATCTGAGTCAGCGGCTTGTGATTAGTAATAAGATAAAAATACCTTGCATATAAATATCTCGAAAACTTTTTGACCGCCCAAACAATGGCCTGGGCATCCTTGTAATATCTAATAATCAGAATCTTTATATACACATTTATACGATTTATCGTCATCAGCAAACAAAAAAATTTGTGATCTATGTATAACATCCTTAATATCATTAACGTAACTAATGTTAAATCTAATTAAAATAATAATTAATGGCAAGCACCTCACTACTGTCACTATAGATATGTGTTTTAATCACAGACACCTCTGTTGCGAATTCATCTTTCATTATAATTTATTTGTTTAATTGATAGATACGTATACTGGTGGTACCTACGACAAATCTAGCAACTATTATTGTTATTATTGTCTAAAAATTACTACTACTAAAATTATTGTTGATACCACAACGCACTGAGCGTTTATTGAATCAAAACTTAAAACGAAATATTAGGCAATTTTTACCACTCTTTTTGCAACAAGTTCGATTGAATAACTAAACAGTGTTAAGCATTAGTAAATATTATTAATATTCTATCCTAATGTTAATATTAAATTACAATGAAATTCTATAAAATTTAAATGTAAAAGAGAATGGACGGACAGGAGTAACTGAATCACCTTCCCTTCTCTTGATGCATGTAAGAGAGCAAGCTAAATGTGGGAAACTGAATACTGAGTGTCTAAACAAAAACCGCTCTAGCCAATTAGATTTTCGGCTATTTTCATGTTTCCAAGATTTTTTCCCGGCAAGCTTTCCTGCGTTCTTTTCGAGGCACCGTGTGTGTGACCTAAGTCCACTGCTTCCTATAAAAAGGCCTAGAGGCCCCGAAAAAATTAGTTAGTCACCCCTCGAACGGTTGGCTGGGTAGTAAACACAAGGTGAGGTCACAGTTGGTTTATAACCTCAAACGGTCGGGTAGCTACAGACCGCTTCTGCTATCATTTAGTCCTCCACGAGCATGGTCTTAATTTCGACTTTAGACACCTCACGCTGGCTTACCGCGTGTAAAGTTATTGTTTTTAAATATAAAAATAAATTATCAAGTCTTTCTACCTTCATTCTCTCCTTTTCTTTCTAGTGTGGGTATAATATCAAAAGTGCACACCATTACTTGTGACAGTATTGGTACCTTCTAGATTTCGTGGTTAAATAATCGATTGCTCCATACGTAAAATCTAGAACAATCATTTTTACTCGTGACGGTATTGATGGCTTCTAGATCGCAAATGGGACGCCTTCGATATGCTTCAGGTAGTATTAACAACCCGTAGGCGCGTCGCGAGGAAGTGCATCATGATACATCACAACAACTGCTCCGAGGCATTTCAACTTGATTTGCTTCACTTGGAAGTATTCGTATCCCTTTTTGAATATCTTACCGCGTATTTTAACTATTCTCTAGCGGCGCTCATGTAAGACCTGAGTTTTTAAGCATCAGCTTGGACTTGAATAATTTGTTGTGCCTACGTAACATGGGTTTCATTAAATCCCAACCACGTCACAAAAACTTGACTTCGTTCGTTTTCGAATTTGTTTTACAAGGTAAACATCTGGATAATTTGTTTTTCGCAGTTTCTGTTTATAGGAACCTTCAGTGATGGGTTATTATCATCCTTAAGACAATACGTCGTTGGATTTTTTGCTGCCACATGGGTAATAGTAAATATTTTGTTGACCAGTTACGTGTATAATTTTTTTCATGTAAATTTCTGGCCTTGATTGTGCGAATTTTATCGTCTACTTTGAATTTTGGCATTAGCTTTTGTTCGATGTTTTTTATTATTATACAATTTAATAATTGTCTTTCAATGATCCAACTATTTATTATTGCCTTGTAAGCTTAATTTTCTCCACATTTAGTCTTTTAAAGTACGATTAAACCGCTTGCATATAGATACTTTAAGATTGCTACGAGTTGAGTAAAAACTTATTTTATATTTTTCATTAAATTTTTGAAATTTGAATTGCTTAACTTTTAGCTACAAACGGTTTGCAAATTGACTGGTATTCTGCTTTCGTTGAATATTGACTGCATCGATGTTGACACTTCTTCACCATTTTTTTTTTTTTTTTTTTTTTTTTTTTTTTTTTTTTTTTTTTTTTTTT